GGGGTGAGTGATGTCTCTGAGGTCAGGGGGTGAGTAACGTTTCTGAGGTCAGGGGTGAGTAATGGGGGGTTGGAATTCCAAAGTCGAGGGGCAGAGCAACTAAAAGCCCCGCCCCCTTTGTAATCAGGCAGGAAGGAACAGAGAGAGAAAGAGAAGATGAAGATCTGAGGCACCGGGATGGGGAGTTCATCTGTACTAAATCAGAGAGGTCTGGTGGAGAGAGAGAACAGCCTTAAATGTATAAAGGAGCCAGTGCAGCTGCTTCAGGATTGGGGAGATGTGGTGGGCAGAGGAAGTAATAATACCGGCAGCAGAATTCTGGACACGTTGCAGCTTGTTGATGGATTTTTGTGTGAGGCCAAATAATAGTGAGTTACAGTAATCAATTCAGAGATAAGATTATGGACGAGAATGGCCGTGGCATGAGTGAGCAAAGGGCGGAGGTGATTGATACGAAACAACCCGTTTGAATATTTCTATGAACTGTAAATAAATCGAATACCCACGGGAACAATCAAAAGCCTGCTGATGCTTTTTTGTGGCTGTGTCTCCAAGACAACAAAGGACCAAAGGAAAGACAGATTGTTAAAATATTTTAATACACATGTGGAGACTGGCCTGTGTAGACCTGTCGTACCTGTTGTTAGTCGATCCCTCTTTTGACGCCACTGGGGGACAAAGACTGTGATTTCCCTGTGTCCTCTCTTCCAAAATGTCTCCACTGCTAGTGCTATACCACGGCAGGAGAAGAACCGATGAAGGCCATGACTGCAGAAGTGAGGACGAGAAGGAGGACACAGTTAACTGGAGAAGACAACTGCTAAAAACAGAAGTAATGGACAGTAATGAGGCTCGGGGATAAGGGTGTCCACATATTGAACTACAGATGCTCCACGAGCGTTCAAAAAATGGAAAGCACAGAGAGAAATCAGAGCGTGAACATGTCCACAGGACGAGGATCTCCGAGTCAACTAAAGGAAACACAAACGCTGAACACATGTAAACACATTTCAGGTGATGTGTGGGCAAAACCGGGGAATTCATTAATAAACAAACAAATACATGACACAGGGCGCAGCGTCAGCTGACCCAGATTGTTGTCGATGACGTGCGCGACCTCCACATGCGCACGTCAGATAGCTGTAATACAACATCGGTCGCTAGGACGCAGAAAACCACAGAACAACAAAAGCAGCACACGGCAGCAGACACGAGAAACTCCCTGACAGCAGCAGGAAGTTGGCTTCTCTCGCTGAAATCCACAGACCCAGAAATCTTATCAGCCACGGAGGTATTTTTAAATATTTGGCCTTAGTGGCCCTTTGTTCAGTGAAATCTAATCCTGCGTCACTCGTACACCTCAACAATCACCACCTCAGGAGAAACGGCGCACACGTCAGCGCTGACAGCCCCTCAGTGGAGTTTTATGTTTGGGGGAAATCTCGTGCACGTGGTTATTTTCAGAGGAAATGTTACAATCTTACAGTAGTCGTGTATAAGGCTTCTGTGACCCCCGTTTGATATAAAAAACAGGCACAAGTTCCCCTTTTCTTCACTAAGAACTGAACGTACGACTAAAACAGCAGCTAATAAACTATGAAGCAGGGAAAACTAGACTGGAACTGCAGATTCCTGTTTTGGAAAGCTGATGTTCTTGAGGAAATAATTAAATGCTGCTTTATGAATGAAGCTTCTGTTCATTCTTTTTTTCCCATCATGTGAATTCCGGTTTTGTCTGCCCTCCTACTTCCCTGTATACGGAGTTACTATGGTAACGGAGATCTAGTCTTACATGTGCTGCAGTTAAAGCAGAGAAAATAAATAAACAGATAAAATAATGATGCAACAAGCTAAAGGTAGAAAGTGGCAACGACATCCGTCTGTATACTCTGCCAAACACCAGCAGAACTGTTTTTAACATCGACATGATAATTCATCTTTGATTGTAGAGACTTCACAGAGCGAGTTACTGAAAACACGAGAACTGTGAAATGGAAACTTTTCACTATGAAAAACCTGAATTCTTAATGTAATGGTGCCATCATAATATTCTTATTAATATCTCAGTAATATCATTCTTGTAATAACGCCAAAAACGCTGTGAGAAAGTGCCCCGTATGTCACAACATGGCTCTTCGTCCTCGGGCGGACGCTCAAAGCTGATAAGTCCATCGTCTCAGACGTCTTGCAGATGCACAGCGTCGAGGCAGAGAGCGCACACGGACACTGCACAACAAGATAAACTTCAGCTTGTGGTCAGAGCCGAAAGTGCAAAGTCAGGGGGAGTTCCACTCGCCGCTGATAGAGAAAGTGATGAGAACACAGCAGGAAGAGCTTATGCAATCTAAAAATCACCGAGCAAAAAAGGGAACATTTCAAAACTTTACATAACCCAATAACCTCCTTCAGGATCACTGCCTTCATCCCCGAAACTCAAATTCCTGCAGTCGTTTAAGGCAGGTGTTATTATTTCAATAAATATACAAGAACATCTCTTCCTGTGTCTGTACAGGAAAGCGCTGCATTGATTTTGGCTCACTTTGCGTTATTAAAAACAATAATGATCAAAACTGAGTCACAGACTTGTGTTTCCTTTAGACATACTTCTGGTAAGGAGGGATGATGAAGTAAGAACATCAAAGGAAGTAGCTGCAAAAATGAGAGGGCAGGAGAGGGTCATCAGGGTGGAAGAGCTCCGAGGAACGACAATAGTTTGTGTTACACACATAAAGAATGATCCAATAATCAGGTTTCTTACTAGAAAGGGCCTTTCTTCTCAAAAACACCCCCACGGTTTCACCCCCACACATCAATATTGTGCCGTTACACGTGCTTTCGCTCCGTCACACACACACACACACACACACACACACACACACGTGAAATCACTCACAAATATGATGACTAATACCAGTACATGACTGCGTGGGCGAGGTTTTGGTGCACCTACAACAGTTGTAGCTGCGACCTACGCGCTTCAACAGATGGTATTGTGTGACAGAGATGGTGTGACCTTAACTGATGATGATGATGATGGTGGGAAGGTGGACAGCTTCGTTAGTAAAAAGGAAAAACGTGGTACGAGTAAAACAGGCGCGGGAAGTGACACCAATCAAAACACATATTATATTTGTCATCAAGCGACTTACAACATCCTGTCCTTACAGCCGTGATTAAGAAATGCTCGCTCTGAAAGAAATGACTCTCACTCTGCTCTCATCTCTTATTTACAATGGTCAGAGGAGCAGATGGGCCCTGAAGATGCTGCAGCTACAACAAGAAGCATCTGGAGAATCTTCTGATTCCCCGAGTCATGCACAGCTTTGTACTTGATGGGACCTTGTGGATAATCCTGGCATACAAATATGCAAATATGTATATTTGTCTTTTTTCATATTCAAGCTCATATTCTGCATCATCTAAGCTGAACCAACATGATTACCAAGATGTCAGGAACAA